ACCAATTTTTTTTTAAGTCAAATTAGTTCACCATCCTTTCTGCATAATCCTCACACCTTTAAAATGGGGAGGACCAGAGGAAATTTGATTATGAGTGAACTGGAAATGAATTTCAGAATCTAAATTGTGGAGTGCACATGTAATTTTAAATTATTTGAACTTCTGGAGGAATTTCAAAAGTTGTATTTTTCTGTTGTAGCAATTATCCCCGTGTATAATTACTGGAGGGTTCCAGGTTAAACTTTTTGAGTCATTGTTGATCCTGTTTCAGGGTTATCAAGATTGACTTCAGATCCCCGATCAGCTATCAGAAAGAGTGCATTGGAAGTTCTTTTCAATATCTTGAAGGACCATGGCCATCTCTTTCCACGCCTATTCTGGATTAATGTCTTCAAGTCTGTAATCTACCCAATATTCAGTCCAGTAAACGATAGCACAGAAGCTCAAGTGAAGTATGACCAGTCTTCATTTAAATCCAGATATATACCACTGGATGGATGCTTATGGGACTCTGAAACTTCTGTGGTGGCAGCTCAATGTTTGGTGGATCTATTTGTTAATTTCTTTGGTATGGTGAGGTCTGAATTGCCAAGTGTTGTGTCTATAATGGTAGGATTTATAAAAGGTTCTGGAAAAGATCCTGCAACCACTGGGGTAGCTTCTTTAATGCGTTTGGCAGGTGATTTGGGAGGCAAATTTCGTGAAGGGGACTGGAAGGTTATCTTTCTAGCTCTGAAAGAAGCTTCAAATTCCACTCTACCCAATTTTTCTAAGCTTTTGAGAACAATGGACGGCATTGAGATACCCATTAGTCAGTCCGATAATGATATGGAGTTTTCTACTGGGGCTGGATTAATAAATGACGAATCAGAGGATGACAACCTGCATACTGCACGATATGTTGTTTCAAGAATGAAGGATCATATAGCGGCTCAGTTGCGCATCATACAGGTCCGTCTTCCGCCCTTCCCTGCCATTCTCTGAGTATACTTGTTTGTTGTCCTATTTGGTGTTGTTTCACTGATCAATTGTTCCGCATAGAATATTTTTCTATTAATTTGTATATGGCCCCTGGTTTATTAACTTGTATTCGAACCTAGTAGGGGGCAGTTCATCTGTCTTGGTTAATTGTTGCTCTCCTGAATTCAAATTAAATTTCTCACCCATGTGGCCCCTGACTGAAGCGACAACGGGACCCTTTGTTTGGCTCGATGAAACCCTAGCAGAGGTCTTCTCTCTTTCGCTTTTCAGGGAACAACGGTTCCTATTCCAGCAGATATGGTGACTAGGGCATCTTCTAAAATTGAGATTTCAAATTTTTGATCTCCAAGCGGCAATTCAATTTTGTTGGGGATAATTTCTTTTATGCATGCAACGCAACTTCGAGCCCAGAAAAAATGCATCCTATTCTTTGTATCTTTGTCGATTCCGACAAATCCCCCACAATAATCACCAATCTTGCGTAATCTTGCGGAAGGTATCTGAGGACCAACCATGCAGTGGAATCCTAAAAGCTTTCACCCATTTGTGTTCCGACATCAGTGAGGAAGTCTCCATCTCCGGGACCACCAGTCAAGAGAGAGATGTCTACCGTTCCAAAACCAATCTCCAGCTTTAACTCTTATGGCTTCTTGCATGCAAGGAAACACGAAAAGAATATGGGCAAAAGGAGTGACCTTGAGGCCAGCTGTGGTTTTCCACCTATTGACGAACAATTTCTGTATCACCTCTGAGTTGGGGCTCTGATTAAATGGATGATTGGAAACACCAAGGATCTGAAACAGAGAAGAATGGAGACCTTGTCGTAGTAAGAAGCTGCTACAATTCTCAGTGAGTCCCTTTTGTAATGTCCTTGGTCTTAAACAAAGCACACGGAGCGAGACACTTAACAACGTGCACACAACTTGCAAGGTTAAGTCAGATTGATATTAGTAGCGCTAGATAGCACAAGAGAGATTGCCAAAGGAAGCTTTGTATTAGAGAGAACTTGCCTGATTGCTTGATACAAACGAGAATGAATGGCCCCCTATATATACCACTCTCTTAGGGGTAGTGTGCAAATGAAGTAGGGCCTATACAGTTTATAATTGCACACAAATAAGGACCTACTCCCGTCTTCCAAAGAGAACCTCTCCATCCTTATGGAATACCTATACAACTCTCCTCGGGGTAGTGTCGAATAAAGTAGGGCTTATAAATTTATAATTGTGTATAAGGACCTCCATATCTACAAATAAGGACCTACTCTTGTCTTCCAAATGGAACCTCCATCCTTCCGGAATAGACCACCAAGATAGCTAAAATGCTGTAAGCTTCTTGCGTAGAACTGTTGTATGCCGAATCGCGCCTATGCGGCGTGATTATGTGGCAGGTTATCATATTCTCCCCCCTCTAATTTCGTGACGATCGCGGCGCAATGCTTGCTCCATGAATGCATTGACCTTATACTTGAATTGCCACAAGCCTTCATATCAATATGGCCCCTTCCGGTGCTCGCCCCTTCTAATGAATAAGGAACATGGTGGTAGGCTTTGTCCCTTTTTCTGTGTGGCCAGGTAGTCAATAATTGGTTCAATGTCCCTATCATGTGGAGGCAGTGATAGTGATGGGCGCACGGCTGGACTGGCCCATGCTAGAATCATCCTTATCTTCATGGTACGGCTTGAGCATGCTGGCTTGAAAGATAGGACAAATCTTAAGCTTGAAAGCCCATCAAAAGCGCATGGCAGATAACTAACTCCTGCCTTCATCGCTTGGCAATCTGGAAGGAATGAAACCTGCGGTGCTTTGACAGAATCTCAACTCAACACACATCGAAAGCTAGACTGGATGTTAAGTTTGTAATGTAAATAGTTCTATTTTCTGGGACTTTGTCAGAGCTAAACCCTATTCTTGTAATTTGAATGCATCTACTGGATGCATGGTTAATAAAATTCACCTTACCTGATTTAAGAAAAATAAAAAGCACTACTTTTTGCTTTTGTTGGATATAGTCCTTAAGGAAAAACAATTTTCTAGAACTATTATGAAGCCAATAATGTTATATAGTAGTAAATGTTGAACTTATACTATCCACATGATCATGTGATAGAAATGGAAATATTTAGATTGGATAAGATTATGAATTATCACATTAAACAGAAACAGCAAGTAACACGCATAGAAGATAGAACGAGAGGAAGTAGACAGATAATTTGGCTATGTCCCAACATAGACCTATACATCACCAGTAGGTCGGACATTATCATGATTGAAAGTTTTAAAAAAGGAATAAACATAGTTCATGCATTAACTTTGGTCTATTTCCCTGCTTCCTTTTCGTTATTTATGAACTGTCTGGAGAGATATTTTCAGAGTTCCCAATGTTACAAAAGAGTTCTGTTAAATGCACTGTTATTAGAGAACAGTATAATTCGCTGTGCTTTTCTTATTCATTGTGCTGCTGTTTTTTGATGTGCAGGTGTCGTCTGATCTCTACAAGATGTGTCGGCGATCAGTATCAACTGATACTATCAATATCCTCCTTGGTATTTATTCATCTGTTACTTCTCATGCCCAGCAATTGAAATCCGAGAAAGGTGTACAAGTGAAGCTGCAAAAAGCATGCTCTATCCTTGAGATACCAGAACCTCCGCTGGTGTATTTTGAAAATGAGTCCTACCAGAATTACCTCAACTTCTTGCATGGGCTGCTTGTTAACAATTCATCATTGGTTGAAAAGAGAAATATAGAAACGGAACTTGTGGGTGTATGTGAAGAAATTCTACGCGTATACTTGGACTGTGCTGGATTGAACTCTGTCAAGAGAAAACCAGATGATAAGGCAACATACCTGTGGAATCTTCCTTTGGGTTCAGCTAAGAAGGAAGAGCTGGTAGCAAGGACTCCCTTGGTTTTGTCAGTATTACGCATTCTCTGCAGTTGGCAAAGCGATTCTTTTAGGAGATACATTTCTCAGTTGTTCCCGTTAATGGTAGATCTTGTTCGGAGTGAGCATAGCTCAGCAGAAGTTCAGCGTGAGCTCAGTCATTTTTTTCAATCCTGTATTGGCCCCATTATTATGAATTTGTGATATATATTATACACACCATTTACTGAGCTATGCTAGGCTGCCTTGGCCATTTCTTAGCCATTTAACTGACCATAAATATTGCTACTTCCTGATTTTGTTTATACTTTAGGCAGTCTGAAAATTTTGTTTCTAGGCTCAGAATCTGAAATTTTGTAAGCATTAATCTTTCTATCCAGAGGCTCGTTCATATTTAACATTCCTATGAACCTTGTTTATCACCTCAGCAGATACTTTATTTAAATGCCTTCCTGGTGCAGTTTTTGGTACTTTGTCCTATCTCGCCAAAAAGAGATTCTTAACTAACCATCTGTTATTTTATTATGTTCTAAATAATTCCTAGCTGAGAAAGGATAGTTGGAAATGTGTTTCACGTAGTTCCTAGATACACGGAAATCAAGCAAAGCTCTTTACTTTGAGAAATTCCTCAACTTCCCTGTTAATCTTACTGAGACCACTAAGGTTTGACATACGTAACATGACACAGCTTTTGATTTGATTGTGTCATCTCATATATTTACCTAGATATTTTATGACGAAGCAAATAGAGAATTCATTTCTACTCTCTACTGAGACTAGTATCAGCTTTATAGTTCTCTTATTTGGGAATTCAACCTTTTTTCTTTTGGTACCGGGTGACATTAGTAGTTAACATGTTTTCATAGTTAAATTAACATAATTGATTGATATAAAATACTTGAGAAAATCAAACTACAAAAATGGATGTACAGCGGATTAAATTAAGTTTTCTGAAGTAACACAATGTTTAAAATGATTTCTATGCCTGAAGGATTCAAAATCAACTCGTCTTTTTAATCTTATGTTGGCAGATGCAGCAGTATCTTGTACATAGTGATTTACCAGTTGTACTTCAGCTCAAGTATGTGCTTATTTAGGTTAAGCGTGCGGCCAAACGGATGAGGGCAGATGGTTCGAGGTTCAGAAAGATCTCACATACTCATATTACTCGAGCAGCTGGCGATGTGGCAAGAATTTGTACAAAAACTAACAGACTGGGATGAGGTACCATACGAGATGGGATAAGAGGAAATAGCGTGACAGCTGCTTTCTGCTATAATACATACATCACCGTCCAGAGCAAATTATAAAACCTACGAGTTACCCGGCACTAAAAAACATAAATCTATCAAACCAAATTCTGTATCACGGGTGAATTCAACACCTTCATTTCCCAAACAACTCACCCTAGGGCGTCATCTGTTGTTGTATAAGGCCACTCACCTCCGGCTAAATATTTGATTGTTCAAATGGTACACGCACAAAGAGCTGCCCATGCAGAGTAACCACAGCAGAGGTCTGGTGAGGATCAATTCTTGAAGGTAAACTGACTACCTGAAAAAGAAACTAGTCTTCATACGTTAGGATTGCAATTGAAAGAAGATAAAAACCTATAAATGTTAATGACAGACATGATTTCTCCCACTTTTTTTTCCTTTTCTCCTTTCTCTTGTATTCGAGTGAACAGTTCTAACTAGAAATTCACCAGAAATGTGGATGGATGACTCCCAATTGCCCAAGAAACTAGTCATCAAGTAACAATTTTATTGACATGGAAAGAAAATTCCTAGTGTAAAGGTGGTATAGGAAAGTAAAGAACCAACAAAAAATGTGCAGCCAAATACACCATATATGTGTCTAATGGCAATGGAATATTAACCCTCTGGGGATTGAGATTTGACCGCCGCGGCCACTTTCAAGCCAAACTTAGACTTCAAATTATATTTATGTACATATGTCCACAACATTCTTGCAAAGCTAAAGCAAAATATGTACAGGAATTATGAATATGAATAACAAGCAAGCCAAACATAAAAATACCAGAGAATTAATAATGATCGGCAGAGCTGCAAGTATTATAGAAACGAAGTAGGAAAGCAGGACAAATGAAAGCATAGCACTGTCCAGATCATAATAGCCTCCTAAATAAATCAAAAGAAGAATTACTCAAACAAAAGGTCTTTTTTTAAAAAATCGTGGCGTCGGGACCAGCTTGCGCACCTCAACTAATCCACGGGTTATCTGCTATCTCCCACCAACATAGGTATCGGCGAATTAATCCATCAAGGCTTGGATTACAAGTTTACAACCCACTTCGTTGACCTTAGAACTTATGATTCTCAACCCATTTCATTGACTGCTATGGGTGCCTAGTAAAAAGGAAATTCTTCATTGCAAAGTAAACGTTGCACATTATCAAAGGGTATTAGGTGTCTCCACTAATGGGGATGTTGTACAAAAATCTTACACGGTATATTAAGTATAAGAGACATTTCCTCATGAATTTCAAAACTGTTTACTTCTCTAACTTCTCTTCAGAATATCAAGGTGTTGGGGGAAAGAGTTGTAACTTCTTTTAGCAATGGATTTCTTTGGTAAGCTGCTGATCTTCCATCCAGTCTACACGCCCTCGCATAATATATTTAGTCTTTCAACTCTCAAAACAATATCCCAAAAATGTCGGCCTATGAAAAAGTTCCTGATTCAACAGAAAACAGTATTTACCCCTATAGTTCCTAATGACTGCGCTAACCTTACTACTATAACTGAAAGCTACTTAATGAAAGAATTCTGATGCAGTTGAATTATGGTTCATGGGACAAGTAGTTGAATGTCTAATTAAAACTCCTCGCTAGATTTCACAAAAATAATAACTTTATGTGGGTGAACAATGAACATCAGGGCTCAATAGTGGGTCTTACACAAAGTGTGGCTGGTCGCTGCAGAATTACATTTTATCTTTTTGTTTAGGTTAATATAGTTGTCATCCATGAATCATCACCTATGCAGCTCATGTGTGACAATCAACCTACCTTGCATATTGCATCTAATCCAATATTTCATGAGAGAACCAAGCATTATTAAGATGATTGCCCCTTTGTACAGGAAAAGATAGCATATAAAGATACAATTACAATCTTTGCAGACAGAGATGAGTAATTTGAAGACTTCTTCAAGAAATCACTTAAGAGGACCAGAAATACTCTATGTAGTATCAGGCCTGGAGCATATTATTTGCAAGCTCCGGCAAGATATGGAGTCATTGATTTTGGTCAAACAATATGGTCTGGAATAGTCAAAAATTAATATATTATAGAATTATGTACTCATTTAAAATATTGTTAGAGGGATTAAAATTATTGTAGATAAGGCTACATTATACAGTATAAATGCACAAGGGCTGAGACACATAGTCCTCATGCATTCTCAAACTTCTCTTTCTCTGGCCTGTTCTCTTCAATTCATTTAATGAGATAAGAATAGGTAAAATTTTCTTGGCATCATAAATAAAGAAAAACATGGTGCCAAACCATGCAAGTAGTTTCTTTTTCTTTTCGGATAAATAGGTGAGGAGAATGGCATTAAGTGTCAATGGTTCGGTTCGGCCGATTATTTTATAAAATTTATACCATACCAATTTTTCGGTTATTCTATTATGTATAACCAAAATTAGACTTTTCGAAACCGTCCCAATCATGTCAATTTCTCTTCGGTATCGGTACGGTTCGGTTAATTTTCGGTATTTTTCCAATATTATGTAAAATTCACCAGTAGAAGTAGAATGCAATAACATACGTTCTTTTAGAGGACTTAGCAAAACTCTCTAGACATTTTTTACTATTTAAAGGGTGATGAATAAAAAAAAAGATGGCTAGAGTATAGATCCATCAACTATTCTACAACAAGGTAAAAAAAATTAAACAAAGGCAAAGAAAATATAAATCACACGAGTTGAAAGATATACCAAGCTGGGACTCAAGAATAAAGTCTATAGAAGATTAAAAATATTCAAAAAGATAGATCTAAATTATATGAAAGGAAACATATTCAATACTGTTAGAATAGTCATGTAAATAGGAGTAAATAAATAACCCTAATCCAATATATATTAGGAGTAAGACATGTTATGTGTGTATATATATAGGGCTCATTGTAACACATGTCAATACATCAATAATATATTTTCTCTCGTACTTTCTCACATGGTATCAGAGCTACGGTGAGAAATTTATCGTTGTGCGTCATTCCAGCGATATCCGGGAAGAAAGAACTCAGTCACCGTGCAATTTTCCGGTGACCTAAGTGACTTATTGCGTCAAAGTCACTAATTAACAGTGTTGTGCAAAATCCAACACCACCACAAGGTTCCCAAGAGAGATCCGACCAAACCCCAGAAAAAATCACCGGAAAACAGTCACCCACGTGCCGTCACGCGCCTGTCGGAGCACTGTTTCCGGCGGCGCGTCTGTCCCACGCGCCGGCGCGTGAGACCCCTCCCTGTCAGATTTCGGCTTCGCTCCTTCAAGACAGTTGGATCGCCCTGCAATTCCGAGCCTGTCCGTATTTTTATTTTTTTAATTCCGACCACTTTGATTTTTCCGGCAGCTACAGTACTTTTCCGGCAAACACAGTGTTTTCTTCATCTGTTTCAGAGAATTTTCAGTTGATTCTTTTTGTTATTTGGTGATAATCCAACCATGTCTTTGGGAGTCGATGCTTTCGGGTCTAGAAACCCGGGTTCTGGCAGTTCCGGTGTTATGATTACCTCAGAACCTTTAATGGGAGGTTCAAACTACTTAGATTGGGCTTCATCTATCGAGTTGTGGTGTAAAGGTCAAGGAGTTCAAGATCATTTAACAAAAAAGGCTAGCGAAGGTGATGAAAAGGCCAAAACACAGTGGGAGAAGGTCGATGCTCAGTTATGTAGTATCCTGTGGCGATCTATTGATTCCAAGTTGATGTCCTTGTTCCGTCCATTCCAGATATGTTATTTAGTTTGGGAAAAGGCTCGTAATCTATACACTAATGACATATCTCGTTTCTATGATGTAATATCGCGAATGACAAGCTTGAAGAAACAGGAATTAGATATGTCTACTTACTTGGGACAAGTTCAGGCAGTCATGGAAGAATTTGAGACGTTGATGCCAGTTTCTGCTAGTATTGAAAAACAACAAGAGCAACGACAGAGATGTTCTAGTTCTTACACTCGCTNAACTTGTCCACGTCTAGAGTGTGAGTCGTGTCAGCTCGGTAAGCATACCCGCTCCCATTTCCCCCGTCGTCTTGACAATCGAGCAGAGTCACCTTTTACTTTAGTCCATTCAGATGTTTGGGGTCCTAGTCAGGTTAGTTCTACCTTAGGATTCCGCTACTTTGTCAGTTTCATTGATGATATTCCAGGTGCACTTGGATATTTTTGATGAAAAACCGATCTGAGTTGTTTTCTATTTTCCAGACCTTCCATGCTGAAATTCAAAATCAATTTGGGGTTTCTATCCGCACATTTCGTAGTGATAATGCCCTAGAGTATTTGTCTTCCCCATTTCAGCAAATTATGAACTCCCATGGGATTATTCATCAAACATCTTGTCCGTACACATACCAACAAAATGGGGTAGCTGAAAGAAAGAATAGATATCTTATTGAAACTGCTCGTACCCTACTCATACAATCTCATGTTCCGCTGCGTTTTTGGAGGGATGCAGTTCTTACATCTTGTTATCTTATTAATCGTATGTCATCTTCAGCTATCCAAAATCAAGTTCCATTCTCTGTCCTGTTTCCCCATTTACCTTTGTTCTCTCTTCCACCCCGTGTCTTTGGGAGTACGTGCTTTGTTCATGACCTTACTCCTGGAAAAAGATAAGTTAGCTCATCGTGCTCTTAAGTGCATATTTCTGGGTTACTCGAGAACGCAAAAGGGATATCGATGTTATTCTCCTGACCTTCAGCGATTTCTTATGTCTGCTGATGTTACCTTCTTTGAAACCCAATCATACTTCACAGGTCTAGTTAATCACTTAGATATTTCTGAGGTGCTACCTGTTCCTTCTTTTGGAGATTCAGTCCCTATCTCCCATTTATCTTCCTCCATAGCTCCATCGCCTACAGTTCCAGTTACAGCTCCACCACCTATAGCTCTAGTATCACCACCGAGTCCAGTGCCACCAACTATAGCTCCAGTGCCACCACCTAGTCGAGTTCAACCTTCTACAGCTCCATCACTCCTGACTTATCATCGTCGTCCGCCCCCAGCATCAGGCCCAACTGATTCACGTCCTGCACCTGACCCTGCTAATACTGCGGACTTGTCTCCTCTTAATCAACCGATTGCACTACGAAAAGGTATACGGTCCACAGTTAATCCTAATCCTCATTATATCGGTTTAAGTTACCATCGTCACTCATCATCCCATTGTGCATTTGTGTCATCTTTGTCCTCTGTTTCCATTCATAAGTCTACAGGTGAAGCACTGTCTCATCCCGGATGGCGACAGGCTATGATTGACGAGATGTCTGCTTTACATACGAGTGGTACTTGGGAGCTTGTTCCTCTTCCTTCAGGTAAATCGACTGTTGGTTGTCGTTGGGTGTATGCAGTCAAAGTTGGTCCAGATGGACAGGTTGATCGACTTAAGGCTCGTCTTGTTGCCAAAGGATATACTCAGATATTTGGACTCGATTACAGTGATACTTTCTCTCCCTTGTCTAAAATTGCATCAGTCCGCCTTATGGTTGTTGTTCGCCATTGGCCTCTCTATCAGTTGGACATTAAGAATGCTTTTCTTCACGGTGACCTTGAGGATGAGGTTTATATGGAGCAACCACCTGGTTTTGTTGCTCGGGGGGAGTCTAGTGGCCTTGTATGTCGGTTGCGCCGGTCCCTCTATGGTCTAAAGCAGTCTCCTCGAGCCTGGTTTGGTATGTTCAGCACAGTTATTCACGAGTTTGGCATGACTCGTAGTGAAGCTGATCACTCTGTATTTTATCGACATTCTGCTTCAAATCTCAGTATTTATCTGGTCGTTTATGTTGACGATATTGTTATTACCGGCAATGATCAGGATGATATTAGTAAGTTGAAGCAACATCTCTTTCAGCACTTTCAGACTAAGGATCTGGGCAGATTAAAGTATTTTCTGGGTATTGAGGTCGCTCAGTCTAGCTCAGGTATTATGATCTCACAACGGAAGTATGCCTTAGATATTCTTGAGGAGACAGGAATGACAGGTTGTAGACCTGTTGACACTCCGATGGATCCGAATTCTAAACTTCTGCCAGGATAGGGGGAGCCTCTTAGCGATCCTGCAAGATATAGGCGATTGGTTGGTAAATTAAATTACCTCACAGTGACTAGACCTGACATTTCATTTCCTGTGAGTGTTGTGAGTCAGTTTATGGATTCTCCCTGTGATAGTCATTGGGATGCAGTTGTCCGCATTCTTCGGTATATAAAATCAGCTCCAGGCAAATGCTTATTGTTTGAAGATCGAGGCCATGAGCAGATCGTTGGATACTCAGATGCTGATTGGGCAGGATCACCGTCTGATAGACGTTCTACGTCTGGATACTGTGTCTTAGTAGGAGGAAATTTGGTGTCTTGGAAGAGCAAGAAACAGAATGTGGTTGCTCGGTCTAGTGCAGAAGCAGAATATCGAGCAATGGTTATCGCCACATGTGAGCTAATTTGGATCAAACAGTTGCTCAAGGAGTTGAAATTTGGTGAGATTAGTCAGATGGGACTTTTGTGTGATAATCAAGCTGCTCTTCATATTGCGTCAAATCCAGTGTTCCATGAGAGAACTAAACACATTGAGATTGACTGTCACTTCGTTAGAGAAAAGATACTCTCGGGAGATATTGCTACAAAGTTTGTGAAGTCGAATGATCAGCTTGCAGATATTTTCACCAAGTCCCTCACTGGTCCTCGTATTAACTACATATGTAACAAGCTCGGTACATATGATTTATATGCACCAGCTTGAGGGGGAGTGTTAGAATAGTCATGTAAATAGGAGTAAATAAATAACCCTAATCCAATATATATTAGGAGTAGGACATGTTATGTGTGTATATATATAGGGCTCATTGTAACATATGTCAATACATCAATAATATATTTTCTCCCGTGCTTTCTCACAAATACATTGTAGTTTGCTACTCATAATCGCTAGAATACTTTGTGTCTTGCTAATAAAGATACTTGAAATAACTTAGTTTAAGTAGAAGTAGCATAATAGGTTTTAGGAATTAGTATTTTGAGTTTAATTACTTGTTGGCTTGTAATAATTTTCATAATTCCAAGGTCCAAAGAAAATTTAATGCATTATTATTTTAAACTTACTAAATAAATATATTTTTCACATGTAAAATTTATTCGGTACGGTTCGGTATTTTTTCGGTTTATTTTTATAAAATAAAACACCTACCCTAATTATCGGTGCGGTTATAGATTTATATAAAAACCTACGGTTTCTTAAAAAGAAACCTAAAAATCGGTTCGGTGCGGTACAGTTCGGTCGGTTTAGTCGGTTTTCGAATATCCATTGACACCCCTCATTATAAGCCTGTTTGATAAGTGATATAAAAGGTTCTTTCTTCCACCAACATTAAGGAATATGTTTATTAGATTGCTGCGGGCAGTTAAAGCACACACTTCATTGCCACAAAGCAACACTAAACAGCAGTGGTAAATTTGTTTGGGTAATACACAGATGATAAGCATAGCTGAGGTTATTTCTTATAATTCATCTAACTACATCAACGGCATGAGAGCGTACATAACAAACCTTTTTGAATGGAGCAACACCCCAAGGATTGTCCAGCTGTTCAGGTTGGCCAGAAATAACCAAGCGCCCAGCTGGATCAGACTGCACGCGAACCTGAAAAGTTTTTAAAAAACACCCAGAGTTATATCAAAACAATGGTTAAGCTGCGAATGACAGCTGCGACTAATCAAAACACCAGAAGAAAAATCATAATATTTCCTGTTACAGCAGATGGTAGAATTGCAATTATCTGCTTTTGCATCAGCAATGATCGAATAATCATTACAAACGTGATAGGAGATTAGTCAATCAATTAACTGCCCGGAGTGAAATTTACAGAGATAGTCCAGTTCAGTATTGACACAGAACACAAGATACGTGAGAACCTTAATTGGTTACAACTGAAAGCAGTAAGCAACAGTACGCATTTGACAAATACACTTTGTTCTGATATGGCAAAGTCCAGATAAAATATAACCACAAGTTATGGACTACGCTCACTGACAAACGTAATATTCAAACATTTTTATATCCAACAGTCATCGGGTACAGCTTCCCCAGCTGGTACACAGGAGATCAACAAAAATAAGGAGAAACAACAATGTTAGGATTTACCTCTTCACGCAAAAGGCCAGGAACTAAAGCATACACTTCGTAACAATCCTTCTGTACAAATCATTTTACATTGGAAGTTAGTCCCCATGGAGAAAATATAAGACACCACATTAGAAAACGAATCATGCCAGTGGAGAAAGAGAAACGTACAGTTCTCTGCACATTGATCTTCACCCAGTCAGCTGGAGGGCCAATATCCACTACCATTGTCTCCAAACTGCAAATTTTGGGGATGTAAAGGTGTTTATTATTCTTCAGGAAATAAAAGATGCTTCCACAACAAGCAGCTGTAACAGAGTGAAAAAATTTACAAGGATATCAAAGAAGCTCCATGACAGTAGCATAATGAGCACATTCCAATTAGAAACATGGTTGTACTCAGCAAAATATCAATAAATCGAGAAAACAAGGATAATTCTTAATGTGATTATCCATGCCTTTCACAGAAAGAATTGTTCACAATAATATCGAAATGTGCATTCAAACTAGTAACCTGCATTTCCATTATGCAAGCCACCTGAATTTATGTGTAAGCAACGAGTCCGTTAAGAATCTAGAGGAAACCCGGAATCTTAACTGCGGTTTTGATACTTTCATGCATGTAACTTTGGCAACCTGCTCCATGGGGGATGGCTTTTTCCGCTTCAAACCTTAATTGAGAAAGGGAGTTCAGTGTAAAAAAAAAAAGGTCCCAACTAAGATTGTCTGTAAAAGGATTGAGCTAACAAACGATACCAATGCTTTTAAGTTGCTTTTCACGCTTTGGCATAGACACAGAGCTCTTCTCCTGCGACAAGGAAAGGAAAGGAAAGGGCAGCATTAACATCACCATTTTGAGATGACCCATTTGCTATTCTCTTGGGGAATAAACTAATAGACATCTTCACAGACCTTAATGATAGGATCTCCAACCTCACCATTACCAAGAAGACGTTGAGAATGCCAACCTTGCATCGCTCGAGCTGCCGCATCTCTTCTCGCTCTACCAGATCCGGAGGCTTGATTCCCCTGCAACAACAGAAGTTCTAATAGTACATGATGCATGAAGAGATAATTATGGAAACACAGAAATGCCACTACAATTAGTTTCTTGTGGAAGGAAGGCCGTAGCCCCTTTATGATGTAGCAACCAGGACCAAATGCACCTATGTCTCACCATTATTTTCCACAATAAGGACAAACTGGATCTTAAAAACACAGTTAACACAGAATAGTAGGAGACAGATTTCAAAAACACAAGAGATAAAAGGTTGTGGGTTTACACCAGGGTTCTTCATTGAGCCACCACTTATGTACCTAGTTATGGATGAGCTAACCAACGTATTACAAGATGGGTTCCTGAGGTGTATGTTATTTGCCGATGAGATTGCGCTAATTGACGAAATTAGCGAGGGTGTCAACCAAAAGCTTGAGCTATGGAGAAGCACCTTAGAGAGTAAGGTTTTAGGATAAGTAGAAATAAGACTGAAAAGAGTGAAGTTAAGGTGAAATTAGATGAGATTGTGGTGCCAAAATGCAAGCAATTTAGATATCTAGGCTCGTTGCTCCAAGAGAATGGAATAATAGAGGAAGATGTTACTCATAAGGTTAAAACCGGATGGTTGAAACCGAGAAGTGCTACTAGGGTGTTATGTGATAGAAGGATGTCTACCAAAATGAAAGGTAAGTTCTATAGAATAGCTATAAGACCGGCTATGTTATATGGTAGTGAATATTGGGATGCTAAAGTCCAACATACTCACAAGATAAGTGTTGCAGAGATGAGGATACTAAGATGGATGTGCGGTCACACAAAATTAGATAAGATTAAAAATAACCATATTTGCCAGAAGGTGCAAGTAGCACACATTGAGGATAAAATGAGAGGTCGTTTGAGATGGTTTGGTCATGTCCTACATCGACCTATAGATGCTCCGGTCCATAGGTGTGAAACTATGTGAATGTAAGTGTTAAAAGGGAAGAGGTGGACCTAAAATCACATGGAAGGAAGTTGTCTCAAAAGACCTACAAATCCTTGAAATCAATGCAAACTTAGCTAAAGATAGATCACAATGGAACAGAAAGATTCATATAGATAATATCCACTAGTTTGGAAATAAGTTAGACTTGGTAGAGAACTACTATTATTATTATTATTATTATTATTATTATTATTATTATTATTATTATTATTATTATTATTATTATATATATATATCTTATTTTTCACGTTCATGTTCACTTTTATTTTGTTAATGATTATGATATGAGTTGAACTTAACGAAAGATGTTAACTAAGGCGCAATTGTTGTCGTTGTTGTTGTTTAAGAGACAGAAGGCAAGATCAGTCTTATGCTATATCGGACTCTTAGCAGAATGACATTAGCTCATCAACCCGCAGGCTTTTCAGGTTATCCCAACAGCTTGTAAGTTCCAAATCAAGGAAAACTCTACTAATTGGTACAACAACTCCATCATCTCATGAATATAGACCCGGCTCCACTAGGAAATGAAAATTAAAAGAAGTCCAATTTGCATTGGGCAATCAATATCACATCTATAGCTCTAATCTATGTTACGCGGGCTCTTCAAAATCTTTGCCGCATCCGTGTCGACACGACATAGGTGTGGGTGTGGGTGTGAGTGTGGGACTCATACTGGATTTGGTCAACTTACCTTGGGTACTGTGACTACATTCCAATGACCGAAAAGTATAGATTGATTGGGTATTTGGTTTGATCTTTGGGTATTGTATGTATGTGTGTGTGTGCATATATATATATATATATATATATATATATATATATATATATAGTTATAAAAAGTTAAAGAATGCTTTTCCATTACGCGATTATCTTATGCATAAAATATTGGTGTTTATAAATAATACAGTTTTATTAGTTTTAGTTCAATAACTTAACTAATTGAAATACATACTTTGTATATCATAATATATATCTATTAGCCATATCTCAGTACCTGTATCCGCACTCGGATCCATACCCCCGAATCCGAAAATTTATGTGATAAAGAATCCAACCTCTACATTCGCACCCAGAACGGATACTTTTTTTAATAATGGTAACATTTGTATTAATAAAAATGCACTAAGGCAGTGCATAACCATATGTACAGGGAATAGTAGGTCAATCTTGATCTACCTAATTACAAAAAAGCTTAACATGTCTACCATAGATTCCGTATCCTCTACAACACCCAGAACGGATACTCGCACCTGAGTTTGAGCAACATAGACGTTGTTGTTTGAGCAACATAAACGTTGTTACTCCAGGAAAATTCATTTTACATCCATAACTTCATACCTCTAATACTTAACTAAAATCAGTGTAGAATTGTGTGACCACCTCATCAAAAAAAACCGATCTTAGCATCCGCATCTCTACGACGCTCGTCTTGGGGATGTGTTGGACTTCAGCAACCCAACTTAAATTGTACCTTTTATTTATTTATTTAATTATACTTCTCAACAATTAGGTTAGGAATGAAAGTAGCAGAAATGAGGATGTTGAGGTGGATGTGAGGGCACACTAGGATGGATAAGATTAGGAATGAGGATATTCGAGAGAAGGTGGGCATGGCTCCCATGGATGACAAGATGCGGGAGGCGAGGCTCAGATAGTTCGGGCACGTACAGAGGAAAAACCTAGATACCCCGATAAGGAGGTGTGAGAAGAGGTAGAGGGCGGCCTAAGAAGTATCGGGGAGAGGTGATCAGACAAGACATGACATGGCTTCAGATTTCCGAGGACATGGCCCTTGATAGGAAGCTGTGGAGGTCGAGCATTAGGGTTGTAGGTTAGGAGGTAGTGGAGCCTATTTCTACTTCGTACCAATGTGAGGCTAGTCTGATAGGATTTTTGTTTTAGACTGCAAGTGGTTAATGTTGTATTCTCACTCTATTTTTCATAGTGTCGGGTCTATCTACTGGTTATTGCTTTTGCTTTTCATCTATTTTCTAGTTATGATGTTATTATTTCTATGCTTTCCGTTGATGATACTGATATATTGTCTCTTTTCGTCTCCTTGAGCCGAGGGTCTTTCAGAAACGGCCTCTCTACTCCCTCGGGGTAGAAGTCCCTCAGGGTAGGAGTAAGATCTGCGTACACACTACCCTCTCCAGACCCCACTAGTGGGATTTTATTGGGTCATTGTTGTTGTTATTGTTGTCTCAACGATCAGGTTACTGAGAAGATCACAAGCCTTTTTGTTGTAAGAGAAATGGGAACTTGAAACCCGCCTGATCTTGTTAAAATTGCAAAACCAACTACTATGCAACACCTCTAGGCAAAGAGTATACAACTATACATCCATCAAAATATGCACAAACCTATAAGAAATTAAAATTTTCCATCTGATACAAAAATGCACTTGTCCCCTCATAAAACATGAGCTTAAGTTATACATAGGAAAAAAAAAAGGAACACTTGATAAATCATCCCAGAGCATATTTTCCTAATAAATAAAGCTGAAACAAAAATCCAAAAGAGTGACAGGGAGAAATTTTTTATAGAGCTTTCAGGGTCCAAATTAGTGCGCAGATAAATGGCAGAAAAGACAGGATGTTTAAGGGTCGAAAAGTTTGGTGATGGGCAATGGCTCCAAAATGAAGCCAAGGGCAGAGTTTAGAAGAAATAAGTGACAAACTCTGTATTGAATTTACGAAAAGAAAAACACAACTGTTGTTCATTACACCATCAGTGACAAGAATCTGGTTTAAATTGCGGAAAAGGAAAAGATAACTGTTGGGAATCACACCGTTCAAGCACATAACTAGAGTTGCATCTCTAATCCAATGAAAGCTAGATTGCAGAAAAGAGTTCTGCAATGGCTGATGTAAAATAAACCATTAAACACGGCAGTTTGCGTTGTAGACTAAAGAAAAAGAAAATAATTCCCAAATTGAGCAAAGGAGTTCTTTCACTTGAAATACTATTCTTTCCAACTTCAAAAAATCAAAACGATAGGTACAGACTGAAATGAGAAATTGTTCACTTAAACACACAAATCGACAGAAAAAAAAAATTGATGATAACAACTAGGTGTTTATAGGTCATCCTCTTACTTTTCTAGACCAATTACTATTAAAAAAGAATGTTCTTCCACTAAAGAAAGTGAACCTACCTCCCCCCCCCCCCCCAAAACCCCCAAAACCCCAAGAAAAAAAGAGAGGTTACTCATGGGTTAATAACATCTTGCAAGATGGATAAACAGTAATACCTGGATTCCAGAACTAGTAGGTTCTGCAAAAGCAGCTTCAGCAAATGGAAGCTCACCACTACGCATTTTGTGCTTTTCATATTCTAGTAGGGCCTGCAAAAGCCGACAGCTCATCAGCCTAAATGCAGTAAGGTAAAATAAAAATACAGCAACAAAAGAGTTATGAATAACTCTTAAACACTTCTTTAATACCAACATATTAGGACCAACAAACAGTACCAGTACAGATGAGGAACATGAATAAACATGGGATCTTCTTTAGGAGGTTACTCATGTATCCGTCATAAAGCATTGGACATAATAGACATAGAGGCATATGTGGCAAAAAGAATACTCCAGATTGTGCTGGCAGTCGGTATTTGACCGGAAACTAAGAAAACCAGTAGTAGGTTATAAATATTTATGAACCTGCACAAAAAGTTCTCCTTTTCCCTCATGCGGTCAGGTCCAGAAAATTAGTGTTTTTCCTTTGGGAAGGTGAGAGGGAAAAGTATAAATCTGAAAAGCGTTATAATTATTTATGAACCTGCACAAAAGATTCTCCTTTTCCCGGTCAGGTCTGCAAAATTAGTTTTTTTCCCTTCGGGAAGGCGAGGAAGGAAGAGTATAAATCTGCTGACAGAAATACGAGGACTAAGGTAAAACCATATGGAAAAGGGAGGAAAATAAGGAGTACTGATGGGACAATCAATTTCTGTGTCACTAAAACAAAGAGTGGCATTAGAGCTAGATGGAAGGACTTAACAAAAAATATTTTACATTCGAACGAAGAGATTATATTGTGAAACATATGAGAAGACAGCTCAGAATACCAGTTGAGACAGATAGTAGATGCAGGGTACTCTCAAGATAAATTATGTTTTCGGATAGGTTTTTTTTTTACAAGGTAAATTGTATTAATCAAAAGGGAGAGAACTCCCGTATACAGGAAGTATACCAAAGAGTAGAGAATTTACATCAGAACATGATTCTCTACAAAAGACGTCCAATCTTCTATACAAGTAGGGGCTATATGAGTGCACCAAAAAGCGATCAAAGATAAAAGGCTATTCTTAAGATGTGAAAAAGGAGACTCAATCCCCTCAAAAGCTCTTCTATTTCTCTCCCCCCCAAACTATCCACATGAGAGCTAATGGGGTGAACTACCATGCCTTTTGCTTTCTTCTTCTACGGAAACCGGCCCAGCTATATAACATCTCCTTTACGGTGCTTGGCATCACCCATTGAACACCAAAAAGATTCAGGATTGCCCTCCACAAAGTCGAGGACACAGGGCAATGCAACAAAAGATTATCAACTTCTTCCCCTGAGCGTTTACACATGTAGCACCAACTAACAAGTGTAATTCCTCTCTTTCGAAGATTTTCAGCAGTCAAAATCACACCCCTCGCCGCTAGCCATGCAAAAAAGCACACCTTCATGGGCGCCTTAAGAATCCAGATCGAGGAGTATGGAAAAGTGGCCTCTTCTCTCACCAACATACTCTAGTAAAAGGACTTTACGGTAAACAAACCATCACCACGCAAACCCCATCTCCAAGAATCACAATATGGTCGGGGCCTGTCTTGCCCATATAGCAGTGTCAACAAATCTTGGAGCTCCGCAATCTCCCAATCTTGCATGTTCCTTCTAAATGAGAGGTCCCATACTACCCCCCTCCATGCTCCTTTCGAATCTGTTGGACCATCAATTCCTTCTGGTTTGAAACTCTGAAGACGTGAGGGAAGGAGACCCTCAGAGTATCCTCTCCACACGACCTATGATTCCAAAAGCTGATTCTCCTCCCATCCCCACCCTGTAAGTGATGTTGCCATTGATGCTCCTCCACATGCCACACCCGAAAGGTGCTGTGATTGCCTTGGTCCTCCAACCCCCTCCCGTGGAATCGTACTTTTCTACTATGACCTCCCTCCATAGAGCATGCTCTTCTACCCTGAATCTCCACGGTCACTTCCCAACAAAGCTCTGTTAAATACCCTAAAATCTTTTACTCCAAGTCCACCCCACTTCTTTGGGGAAGTGACTGTCTGCCAATTCACCAGATGAAACTTTCTAGTTCCATCCGCCGCATCTCAAAGAAAATTCCTTTGAAGTCGCTCCAATACATATTGCAATGAGTCATTTTCTTATGTTTTTGGATAGGTGAAGCAAATGCTAAGGAGTTCCTGATAAACAAGGTTTTTGAAAGGCTCGTTCAGCTGGAAATAAGAGATGGAGGAAAACAACAAGCACTAAAAGACCTAGCTAGTTAAACATGAATGAAAAAGAGATGAGGGGACGTGGAGATAGGCATTCAGTTTTGAAGCATGGAAAATGACAATTTGGTGGCAGAAAAAGTGGGAGAGGCATGTGAAAAAACAATCTGAAAGGAAATTGAGCACATAGGCCAGCATTATCGGAACTTCTTTGTCCCATCATATTAATGTCCTCACTTAGATCACAGCATTATTGGAATTTGAAGTAACAATCTTGAAAGGTCCTAACTAGGCCATTCACAAGGAAAATGGTGTAGATTGGGACTTTATGACTGCCAATCAAATCTTTTAATTTTAATAACTGAGATTTTTGTTGGTCATTTGGATAAGATCAACCAAGGAATTTATGTGGGATTTGAGTTTTAGGAAGAACTTACAAGGTTGGGATGTCACAGAATTCCAAAGTTTGATAGCAAAAAAAGAATTCCACAAGATAGGCAAGATATTTGGAGAAGGAGGAGAGGGAATAATGACTTCTTTTCTGTTAAGTTCTCTTATGAGAAGCTTCTGATTTGGAGGAGTCCGCTTTTCCATATCTCTTGACTCTCGGTATGGATCACCAGAGTACTGAGAAAGGTGTGTTCTTTCACTTGGCTAACTACGAGGAGGTTGATACTGAAGGCTGAAAATTTGAGGATGCTTCATGTGCAAAAGCTCGAGAGAAGACGTCAATCACCTCCTTTTACATTGTTGGGTAGCGTCTCACTTAGAGTGGGAAATACTGAGATAGTTTGGTATCCAGTGGCTGATGATGACAGGAACAGTCATAGAAGATATTTTTAGCTGGACCTTTAAAAGACAGAAGAGAAGACGCAAAGCGTTGGCGATTGCTCCACCAGCACTTACGTTGATGGTATGGGAAAAGAAAAAAAGGGAGCTTTTAATGGAATACTTGGAGTGCAAGTTCAGCGGCGTGACTCATGAAGCGAATGTGGACGTGAGGCTTGACTCACAAGTCATCCCCAAGAGAGCGAGTTTCAAGTACTTTGGGTCTATCATCCAAGATAATGGAGAGATTGACAATGATATCACACATCGTATTGGAGCAGGGTGGATGAAATGGAGGCTCGCATCCGGTGTTTTGTGAGACAAGAATGTACCACCAAACTTAAAGGTAAATTCTATGGAGTTGTGGTTAGACCGACTATGTTGTATGGGACAGAGTGTTGGGCAGTCAAAAAACCCATGTCCAGAAGATAAAGTGGCAGAAATGAGAATGTTGGTTATTCGGGACAATGTGAGATTGGCCTCCGTGGTGGACAAGATGCGGGAAGTGAGGTTAAGATGGCTCGAGCATGTGAAGAGGAGGGGCACAGCTGCCCCAGTGAGAAGATGTGAGAAGTTAGCCCTGGAGGGTACGAGGAGAGGTAGAGGTAGGCCAAAGAGGTACTGAAGGGAGGTGATTAGGCAGGACATGGCGCAGCTTCAGCTTACCGAGGACATGATCCTTAATAGAAGGGTGTGGAGGTTGAGGATTAGGGTAGAAGGATAATATATAGTGGAGCGTATTTCTTTCCCATACCAGTAGTGTTAAATTGCTCTTATATTTTATTATGCTCAGTTTTCTTTTACTACCTTGGGCTTATGTTTCTCATTCTTATCCCTATTCTTGTTTTTTCCGCTTCGGTTGATCTTTTATCATGTTGTTTACTGCTTACTAATATTGCTATTACTATTGCTTCTTTTTCATCCTTCTGCGGGTCTACAACCTCTCTACCCTCACAAGGTAGGGGTAAGATTTGCATACACTCTATCCTCCCCGGACCTCACTTGTATAATTACACTGGTTGTTGGTGTTGGTGTTTGTTGTTGATAATAGAACAAAGGATTTTGTCCATTTGAGGAACAACCTTTCATCCTTTATTTCTCTTTTGCTGCACCAACCCACAAAATTCTTATATATCTAGAAGATTGGGTTCGTAAAAATTTAGATTTTTTTTATGAAGAAAAAGTAAATAAATAAGTGGCCCCGTAGAAAATCATATATTATTGTGAGGCTTTCTACTCTTTGGTAAAATTCTTTGAAAGTATATAATGATCTAATGATATTACATCCATATTTCCGTTCAGCACACAAACGACTAGGTTGAAGGACGAACGCACTTAAACGCGAGAAAGGAGATTTTGGACAAATAAAAACGAGATGCTTGCCTACATGACGTGCCTGCTTCACCAACTTACTTTCCGTCCTACTTGCTTGAGCTACTCGACACATGTCTAAATTATTTAATGAGGACGAGACACATGTTTCAAAATGGAAAAAGAATCGACATGAATCACCTACTTGATTAAGTAGGTGACAAGTAGGTGCATCACCTACTTAGAGCTTGTGGATCAAATTAAAAGGGAATGGAAAAGGATAGAGATGGATAAGTCTTGGGGCAGCCCAAGACCCATCTGCCCAAGCCCATTAGTGGGGCCATATAAACATAGATATATCTCAATTTCACTTAGAAGCACAATTCATCATCCCTCTCACTCTATTGCGACGTGAAGGAGCTCCAAAATTTATCCCAAGATCTCTCTCAAAGTTATCCTAGGGTTCAAGACCAAATCCACAAGTTCGTAGGTGATTTCTCCCTTGGAAGATCAAGATCACCTAGTTATCTCTCTCTGCTTTGTTGTTTGGGGTAAAGAGCTTGTTTGAGCTTGAAGTAAAGCTTAGTTGAACAAGTATTCTTGCTGTCAAGGTAAGGTTTAACTTCTCCTATATGTATCTAGTTGATTTGTTAAAGGAAACTTGTGAAGTAGGTTGAACTTCATGTTGAAGTGTTGTAGTTGCTGGACTATTTTAGAGTTGAATTCTTGATGTTTTATGGCTGGAAATCAGTAGAAATAACTTAAGAATACTATTGCTATTGTGGTTGATGTGTTTGGAAGAAGAGAAGGCTTGGAAAGTGCAAGTTAGAAATTGGTTGTTGGGTGAGATGGTGTGGACTGTTTTGGTGATGTATTGTAACGAATATGAGGTTAGAAAAACAAAAAAAAAAAAAAAATATATATATATATATATATATATATATATTGTTGATATTCTGGACATGTTGATTGATTTGAGGAAAATGAAAAGAATAAGGGGAGGTGCTGTCCAAAATTTCGTAGACGAGCTAGTCGCACATTTGTGTTGAGTTCTATCTTCCATAAGCTTAACAATGGTCCCTTGTTGTTTGTTGTAGATTGAAGTACTAACGGGCTGAACCATCGTCGTGTGGTTAGGTAAACGACAAAGGTATGTTAAGGCTATCCCTTCTTTCCTTTAGGCATGATCCATATGATAAAAATGAAACGAGCAAACGCGCAACTTTCATAAATGACTCTATTCATAGAAGTACTTCCCCATATGTCCTATCATTATATCGTCTGTTCATGGGTCTCAAAAAATACGTAAGTTGATAAAGTTTATCCGAATGCATATTGATCTTATGACATTCCGAGAGATCTTATTGACTTACTTCTTATGCATTGCATTCATTTATACATGTACATTAACACATGACCAGATGGCGTTATATACGCGTATATTATATGTATATGAAGTATGGGGAAAGGTTATGCCGTTATATACGCACTACCACCTGATCAGCTGGTATACGTTGATGATTTCGGCCACAATGGCCGAGACGATATGATGGGATGCTCCCAGAGGCTTGATTATGTTATGTACGCATATACATATGCATGGCATGACACATCAACCACAATAGCTTGATGATGTTTATACACATACGCATGACATTATAAATGTTTCATGATTCACAAAGCTATTCAGACTTACAGGTTGAGTCTTTTACTCCATGTTTCTTTCATGTCTATTATATACTGCTTTTCATGCCTTACATGCTCAGTACTTTATTTGTACTGACGCCCCTTTTGCCTGGGAACGCTGCGTTTCATGCCCGCAGGTCCCGAGAGATAGGTTGCCAGTGTTCCAAGTAAGCTATCAACTCAGCGGAAGGTGTTGGAGCACTTCATTTGCTCCGGAGTTGCCTATTTGGTCAGTATGATTTGGACATGTATTGATTGGTATGGCGAGGCCCTGTCCCGACCTTTATGGCATTTATGTACTCTTAGAGGCTTGTAGACAGATGTCATGTATATGGATAGTATGTGGCCTTGTCGGCTCGCCCAACCGTATTTCGTATGTGTGTGTATATATATATATATATATATTATATATATATATATATATATATGGGAAATGTTTTCCCGTGTCTGTTATTCACATGATTCAGTAATTTAATGACAGATGTTATACATGACCTACCCTCAATTCATGTTTATATCTTAGACGCATGCTTAGGGGTGTTCGACAGGTAGGACTCGGGCACTCGTCATGGCCCATCGGTTTGGGTCGTGACAGTTGGGAAGATAGAGGCTGGCATATCCATTGAGGAGGAGCCTCAATAGAGCCACGACCAATATAATCCTTGTCCATTCAAAGTCAGCTCAACTGAGCCAATTACCATTTGCAACCAAGCTATACATCCAAGGAAGTACCTAGAACAAGATACAAGAAAGTTAAGCCAAGAGAATTGGTTTACGACAAGGATCGGTGTAGAGTAGATTTCCAGTGTCTTCTTTGTACTGCTTTTACAAATACTTGTCTATCAAAAGATATGGACAGAGAAAGAAGAGACTAGAAGAAGGGTTGCCATTGTAGCTATATGAAGGGATGAAAGTGCAATATAGATATAACCGCAAACAAAAAATAGGATTTTTCGTCTTCTTTCCTGTTCTTGGTTTGAGAAAGAACATTTTCCCAAGTCAGCCTGTTCTTTCAGATAGGACATCCCTTGTTTGTTTTATCATCCTAAAATGCCTATCTATGTGCTCGATGATCAACCAAATAAAAATTTTTACACCTGAACACTGGGGATGTGCCAAACCCAGCCCGGAGAATAAGAATATCTCCATCAGAATCTAATGCATGTACACATGGTTCTTCCCTATTGAACCTTTATCCAAAGACAACAAACCTTCCACAGCAATAATTCATAACCATCAGAATTAGATTCCAGGGATGTTATAATCATAGTACAACTAGATGTTGGCCTAACCTAAATGAAAACTTTAGTCAACTGAAGTATTCATGATCGCTCGCTTTATATCACGTTTAAAAGGGATTGAGCTTGTACAAATCTTGAGTGCCCTAAACACACTATCAATTTAAAAAAGTTCCAGCAATTAGAATTTGAAGACAAATAAAAATTCAAGGAATTAGATTAACCTTCTCGTAAAAACATCGGAATGTCCAAGAGACAGTAGTACAAGTCCTGCACAAGATTGAACACAATATATCATCAAGACAATTCCATTTTAAGAAACACCAACTACTAAAGAAAATTTTAGTGTCCCGCAGGAGAGAGCTACTAAAGAATCTTGTGCAGGACAGTAGTACAAGTCCTGCACAAGATTGAAAACAATAAATCATCAAGACAGTTCCATTTTAAGAGACACCAACTGCTAAAGAAACTTCTAATGTCATGCAGGAGAGAGCTAGATAAAACATAAGAATCAGAAAGAAACAAATGTTAATGGAGTGAACAGTAAGGCACGGTGACTGCTGGCTGTATTCTGGTTCCCGGATGTGTCTCACAACCACTGCTCTGATACCATGTAAGAAATAATACACGGAAAAATTATTTTATTGATTTATTAAAAATGATACAATGAGCCCTATATATAATACATATTCTACTCCTACTACATATGGGACTAGGATTATTTATACAGAACTCTATAACAAACATCATTGTAGATAAAGGATCCCGTTGTCGTATATCCCTTGCGCTTCGAAAGAATTATGTGGGACTCTCGCTGATTTTCCAAATCTCGTTTTTCATTTTTTTCCATTTCAAAGTCAAAAAACCCCAATTGAAATAACCATGATCCTTTTCAAAGTCAAGCTTGCACGACAGCCTCAGTCTGCTAACTCATTTGCAATCAGAGTTGCACCAAGAATTTGTCAACCTCCCAAAAAGGCATTCTGGATTGGTAAATATCATAAGATCTAAAAATTTCTTCAGTTTAATAGAACGCATTGCTTGCTTCTGCATTTGATGTTCTAAGAAATACTCTTATCATCGGAAAAAAAATGAGTCTTTTGCCTTGAACAAATGTGGAAGCAAGCACAATATAGCAGAGCTATCTACCAAACTACCTTCCTCTGATTGACTAGATACAGCTGTTGCAACCTAAATGAGCAAAAGATTGAAATATACTTTTGTAGCCTAACAAGTCATTAGCCCAAGCAAAGCTTTCAGATTTTCTTGTCAATATCAACTTAATTTTCTACATCTAAACTAACTCATAATTCAAATTCTACTACAGCCATGCATTTGACCACGTGGTTAGGGACCTGAACTGATAAATATCCTAATCCATTGGAGATATCGCCTAGCTCTCGTCTCTCCATGTTGCCCAATACGATCAAAGAACCCTAATTCTAAACAATATAGGCAAACCATAAATATGAGTTTGTCATTACTTGGGGGGTTTGAATGATTCTCCTACTTGCCGCCATAGCTTGCATGATGTTACCTGTAAAACCATAAATAGTAAATAACTGATCAATAAAGCACTGCCCGCCCCATCATAAGCCAACAATGAATTTTTTAAAGCAACAAAAGAAACAGAAGTTTGTAAGCATGAAATACTAGAATTCAACCCCATATAGTAATCTCTATGCAGAACCAAAGATAAAGCTCTTGTAGTCTTTCCTTAACTCCAATATGTTTCTAGAATTGTAGTCAGTAAACTTTTATGGAACACATGAGCCAAAAAGCTGGAGGCTCTTTAATAAGAAAAGAAAGCTATACTAAAGCCAAGTAAAAAATTAATGCATCGAATAAGCAGAAGTCTCCTCCAGTCCACTAATCCACTTAACAAAAGTCAAACATGAGCCAAAAAGTTGGAGGCCCTTTAATAAGAAACGAAAGTTCTACTAAAGCCAAGTAAAAAATTAATGCATCAAATAAGCAGAAGTCTCCTCCATTCCACTAATCCACTTAAAAAAAGTCAAGTATCATGAAAGAGGCCTAAATTCTTACAGCGCAGAGGAAAAGAAACCCGAATCTCAATCATACTGGTATAGTAAAAGAAACCACTCCTGAAAGGTTAAAGCATAGTCCAACCAAATACACCAGATTACCACCAGCGAAGGAGCGCTCCGCAGAACCTTCCTATTCTTGCTACAACTAAAATACCGATATAAAATGACTAAACACAAAACAGGTTAAAGTCTTAATGTTTCTTACATATTTGCTAACTTGTTATTAGAGGAGTCAAGTGTTCCCATAGAATCTCCTAATTTGTACTATAACACATTTGGCACCTGTTCAACACGACTATCCATCAACAAGATCAATACAACTCTGTCTCACCACAGGAAGAAAAAAAAAAGGAAACTAACTGAAGATGGAGCACCAATAGTGACCCCTGTAGGAAAACTAGTTCCAATTTACTAAGGTGAATTTCTCACAGATTTAAGAAGTTTTTTCTCACTTCTTTGGCGCTTATACAACCTTGTGCTAGATGTTTATTCTTGTGGAAATATAGGTCTGAATCCTAGAGTCTTTATCCTCTGACTTAGGCACTTTATTCATCAAAACTAAACCAATTGGTATTCCCATAAAGATCCATCAATTCCCCACCAATTTCCCCACTATTCCAGCGACAAATTGAACCTAATATGCCCACTTCTCTATTTTGCAGGGGATTTCTTATGTAATGAGTTTGTATGGAACGCTCTTTAGGTCTCTGTATACATTCTTTACAGCGGTGGCTAAACCTTGGTTATTTTTCAATAATCCACTCGCCTAGGAGAAAGGGAGAGGGAAACTGAAGGAAACCACTAGAGCTTATTCTTTTTCTTTTCATCTTTCTTCAGTTCCTCATATTGTTTGCCTAGCCCTCAGAAATACCAGTGCAGTTAATCTTTTCCAGCCCCTTTCTTGAACCTTCACTTAGCCATTAACCATCACAGATCCTTTTCAATCCAAAACACTTCTTTTCACCCCAAATTTGCATTATTCTGACTCTTTACCAGTTACACAAGTTTGTCAATTAAATGGTAACGGTACAGCAGCGTATTGAAACTCTATACAGACCTGCTCATAACCACCAAGTCTGATCACTGCTCTCCACAACCTGACAAACATGATAACAAAAATAATTAGACCAAGTTCAAGAAACACAGTAAATAGAGATTCTGAAACAAGTGAATGACTAACTTGAGACAATTTAATGGCTCTCCATAGAACCGCGGGGCCTTGAACTCCAAGCACCTTTCTTTGTGGAAAGTCTCTAGCCCTTTCATAAATGCAGCTTGCTCTTCCTCTGTTCCAGACTCATCGCCCCCCATGGGATTTATATCCAGCAGAAAGGTCTTGCCAGGAGTTTTCACATCAATATCATGTTCAACATCCAATTCGGGCTTCAGTAATTCATCCTTTATTTTATTGGCTGGTAGCACCTCTGTCTCTTTCAACAAATCATCCGATCCCTCCTTTGTTTCATTTTCCGTTGATGCCTGCTTCAGAATCGCTCCTCGCTTCAGGTTCTCCTCCATTTCTTTATTGTTTAAGAGTGAGGCACACCTCTTCACTCCAATTTTCAGTTCCTTTTTTCCAGCAACATATATCATACATGATTCCATTTGAGTTGCCCGACCACTTACCTCCCCTTCAGTCATCCCATCTTTCCGTTTTTTAAGTTCTTCATCATCCGCTCTAACTTTCATAAGATTCTCATTCTGGACGATGGAGTCCAATTGATCAGTAGAATCAAGATTAGTACTGTCCCTGCAGCCACGAGGACCTTGAGATTCACTAGCATTTACATCGCCTTCAGCTTTGGAGGCAGCGGTGGGAGATTTGAACAAAACCTTTTCGTCTGTTGAGTCTCCTTCTTCATTCTGCACCCTAGAACTTGTAGCATCAAGTATGCTGAAGTCTGGGGCCTCACTCTTTGTGCAACTACCGACATCTTGAAACGGCTCCTTCCCTGCAGTCACCAACTCTTCGCCCAAGTTCTCTTTTTCTGCGAGTATGTCCTTTTTTGACACGGTGCCATTTGTGATGCCGCTACTGGAAATGGCATCCCCCTTTTCTGGCAGGGTTTCTTTGTTATCTTCTATCTTACAATCAACCATGTCTGTCTCGAAATGCCTGATTACAGCCCAGAAAATGGCAAGAAAAGAAAATAATTTCTGCAAGAACAACCGGGCGGAGAATGTGAATCTTCAGCTTGAAGCCACTTTTCAATCCAGAAAAAGAAAATGACTATTTTACCTAAAATTAGCTTTTAAATAACGTTAACACCGTTTTGATTTGTGATACAGTTAACTTGAAAAATGATTTGAATTCAAACATGAAAGCAGCTTAACTAGCTTCTTAACCGCTGCCAGCCTCGAACTAGCCGAACTCCTAATTTAGCATAGAAAAAATAAAAAATGAGGAAGAACAAAATCTTTATAGTTGCTTCAGATGAGATCATGTCAAAACCAACTAAAGTTGCGCCATGTTCAAGACGAAGAGAAAAAAGGAGAGGGTCAGGAGGTCTTAACGGGATTGGATAGTTTCAGAATCAAACAAAGCAATACGTTAGAGCTAAGGGATTGATAGACCTTGAAGGAATTGACGCCGGCAATGTCGACAGAGAGCCCTAGTAACGGCTGAATCTCCCGCCAGCGAGATAGACAGATGAACGGCAAGAAGCTTCGCGCTCCCAAAAATCCTTGGCCTCTGCGAATGCGGGCATCATTGTGATTTTAAGATGGTTTTCGAGGAAGGAAGTGCATTTAATGCCATCTGCCACGCATGCTTAGTTTGCAAATTGATTTATTAAAAATAGGTATTGGATACATATTATTATAAAGTATAAATTTAAATACACCAAAAGCTAGGATTCTCAAGTAATATTAAGATGTTTTATGAATAAAGTTAAAAGATATACTCCGACCAATTTTATCTCTGTTCTTTTAGCCATTATGCTATCAATTAAATTTGGGTATATCTCTATATTTAAAAATTCAATTGGTCCAGACGACATCACAAGAATCATTTTTTGATCAATTTGAACTTCACTATATTCTTAAGCTTTAACAATATCAATTACGCCTTGATATAATTATCTCTCAAGGTTGATTGTTGTTTTGTGGAGTATCCAAACCTCGTTTTTTCTCGTTTAATGTACACGTCATACACAAAAAATTTAAAATAATGAACTTTAGTGTCGTTTTGTCCCTATACTTTCCTAAAATGATCCGGATGTACTAAAATATATTATCCCAATATTTAAGAAGTGTATTGAATATAATATAAGTTCAAGAATATAATAAACTAAAAGTAGTAGGATATAGACTCACAAAATTCTAAGCAAGTATAAGTGTCAATTCATCTTTCTCAAATATATGCAGAACCTTACTTTCTTTCTCAAGAACAAGAATCAAATAACATCATAGTTAATTATAGGTTATATGACAATATCTTTCACCAAACATTGATATTTTAAAGCTATTTATGATACGAAAGCTTTTAGATACAATATTGGAGTTATTATTTATAATCTTGTTTAACAAGTAAGTGCAGGCGACCAAGTTGGTCTAGTCAACATATAATCTCTCCACCATCTCTTGGCGGAACCAGTCATCTGAAACACATCAAAATCGACCCCATTGATCTCAACTATACTCATGTTCCGCAGCACCTCGTAGCAGCGGTCTAGATAATCATGTGGGTCCTCGGAAGATGCACCACTGAAATGAAATAGAAAAAGCTTGGTAAACTTGTTCAACCTCAACAAAGCCTCAAAAGACATAGCGGGCCTATCACCGGCCTGTGCCGCAACAACCGGCTGAACCACCCCAATTGGCGGGGTTGCTAGAGTCTGATACTGGGGAGTCATCTGCTATGGGGTGTACATAGCGGGAGTCTGTGCTCCTCCCCCAGCCTGAGAGACAGCTGGTGCCACCGGGAATGTACCGTTCTTGGCCACACTCTCTATAAGGCCCACGAAAAGGACTAGAGCGTTCTGAAGCACTAGAGTGGCTGTGAACCCCTCTGGAACCTGAGCTGGTCTGATGGGTCCAGTCTAAGCTGGAACCTCCTCATCAAAATCTACCTGAGGCTCTACTGCGGGTGCTACTGCTCGAGCTCTAGGCTAAGCTCTGCATCGGCCTTTGGCGTGGCCTCGGCCTTTGGCGTGGCCTCGGCCTCGACCTCTGCCCCTGGTCGTAGCTGCCACTGGGGGATCCAGCTCCTTTTCGGCTACTTATGTTGTGCGGGTTCTTGCCATCTACGAGAGAACAAGAATAAAAAGGTTCAATTATCAATGAAAGAATAAAATCGCACTATAGAGAAGAAAAGAAGTGAAATTTGTTCCTAAACTCCATAGCCTCTGAAAAGATAAGGTGTAAAGCGTGGAAAACTTATTCTAACCCTATATAAACTCAACAAACTCGCCCAAGTCAAGGTTAAGCTTGTTTTTAGATTCGACCTAAGGAGGCAAGAACACACTGGGAGCAAGGCGGAGAATTCTTCAACGAGTTTTTCACTTCCTTCTTCATATTTCCATTATTGGTTATGAATTCTAGTATTGTATTTTTGCATACTATTATGAATAGCTAATTCATTTTCTAGGATTTTGATGGAACCTTTTGTAGGATGAATACTTGTTATGTTTTTATATAATTGAGCCGTTGGATTTCTCTACTTGTTCAACTACGTGTTTGTTGCTGTTGATTGAATGACCATTAATTGACTGTGCCTATTTAGTGTGTACTGCTCGAGAGAGAGTATATATTTATGTAGTTGTTGAACAACGTCACTCCTAACGTATGTGAGAAATCAATACAGTGGGTTTAAAGGCGGGTTTAGAAATAACAAAGCCTTGACGTGGTCATAATGAGCGGTTAGATAAAGCCAACTAGCGTAGTTCGAGAGAATACGTCTAGTAAATTATTGTAGTTGCTCGAGAGAGAATTACGACACCTAAAGTGCTCATGATCAGTAGAGAATACATTGGCAAAATTGTAGGGAACATAGCTAGAAGGATTCCGACAATTGGAAAAATCATAACTCTAGACCTCCTTAATTTAGTCTCCAGCCCTTTGTCTCGTTAGTTGATAATTTTATCGCTTTCTAGTATTTGCTAGTTAATTAGTTAGAAATATAAATCTCAATCTTTATAATTTAGAAAATTGTTCAAACTTGTCTTTTTAGTGATATTAAACAGATATAACTAAGCCTTAGTTCTCTGTGGGATTCGACTGCGGACTTTTAGACCGGATTATATTTGCAGCGACCGCTTATCCTTTTTAGGACTAGAGTTGGGCGTGATCAATCACCCTCCGTGCTTTTACTCTCATCCATACCATGAAATAATGACATAAGTAATATGAAATGGCACGTTATCACCCTTCGTGCTTTACTATATTCTGTACCACAATATAATGAATAAATGATATAAATGGCACGACATCACCCTTTGTGCTTTAACTCTCTTCCTCACTATGTATAAATCAATAAATGAGGTAAGTGCAATGGCACGACATCACCCTTCGTGCTTTTACACTCTTTCTTACCATGGAACAAAGATAATATAATTTCGGAGAGTAAATAATGCAGAGATTTGTATTTAACATCAAATATGATGCCAAGGTACCGACTTCAACTTCCAAAATACTCAGCAATTACCAAATAAGCAATAAATAAAGAAAGAATGATCAAATAAGTAATATCCTATCAGAAGCATAGATATCGTAATTAAAGAGGCAATAAAACACAAGGAAACAAGTTCCACCTGCATGCTTTAACCCAATAACAACGCATAAGTACTCGTCACCTCACATATACTTTGTACTCACACATTTAGTCACGTAGCAAATAGGCAACAAGTCCTAATCCCTCAAGTAAAGGAGTAGCCACGACACTTACCTCGCTCTACAATCAAATCAAAGCTCAACCGGGGCCTTTCCTCTAGAATTCGCCTCCAAACCGCTCAAGTCTAACCAAGTATCGTTCAAATAATTCAAAATAAGCTTTAGAAACTACCCACGAGTGAAAAAGATTCAATCTTTAATGATTTCTAAAAAAGACAACAAAAGTCAACCCTGGGGCCGCTTGGTCAAAACCCGAGATTCGGACCAAAATTCAATTATCCATTCACCCGCGAACCCGGTTATGTGATTAGTTTTGAAATCCGACCTTAAATTTATAAAAAAAAATAATAATAACTTCTTCCCAAATCCCTAGTTTTCTATCATGAAAGGACATAGATTAAGGTTAGAAATTAATGGTGTTGATGAAAAATGGAAGAAAACAAGTTAAGTATATTAACCTATGAAAGGATGATGAACTTTCTATTCAAAATCGCCTCTAGGCCGAGCTCTAATGAAAAGATGGTGAGAAATGGGTGAAATCCCGATTTTTGGAAGTTTAAATGACTGGACGTCAGGTGTTCATCGTTTTTGCGAGACACATGACGCGTTCGCGAAGAGCGCTGCCCAGATAGCCATCGCGATCACGATATACTCTACATATTCGCGTAGGCTTAGCCCACCTCGCCTTCGCCTTCGCGAGCCTGGGCTGGCGTTTGCATAGGGTAAAGGTTCCAACCCCTAGTTCCCCCTCCTAACCCTACGTGTTCGCGAAGGAATGGCCGCGTTCGCGAAGGGAAGACGCCCCACTGCTCTGCGTTCGCAAAGAACAATTCCTATCTAGTCCCAATTTACTCTTCGCGATCGGGGGAGTATCTTCGTGATCACGAAGAAGAACACACCAGATGACATCAGTAGCCCAAAACCAGAAATCTTCTAAGTCTGAAATGGTCCGTAGACTATCCGAAACTCATCCAAGCCCCTCGGGCTCCAAACCAAACATGCACACGAGTGTAATAACTTCAGACCAACTCGTTCGTGCGATCAAAACATCAAAATAACACATAGAATCACGAATCGGACACCAAAACAAATAAAAATCTCAAAGAAACTTAAGAACTTTCAATTTTTCAACCGGACATCTGAATCACGTCAAATCAACTCTGTTTGCACCATATTTTACAAACAAATCATAAATACTGAAATGAACCTATACCGAGTTCCGGAACCGAAATTCGAACCCAGTAGCAACAAAGTCAACTTACGGTCAAACTTAGGAATTCCTTAAACTTTTAAATTGCTAGTTTTTAACAAATTACATTAAATCAAGTTAGGAACTTCTGAATTCGATTTCGGACATAACGCCAAGTCCCAAATCACGATACGCACCCACCGGGACCTTCAAAATACTGATTTGGTCCGTTTGTTCAAAATGTTGACAGAAGTCAAGTCAAGTGAGTTTTTAAGGCACAATTTTACATTTTCATCAATCTTCTCATAAAAACTTTCCGGAAAAAGGACATGGACTGCACACATAAATTGGGAAAGGTTGAATGGAGCTATTCGAGGTCTCGGAACACAAAAATGAAGGTTGAAACTGAAATTGATATATCAAGTCATCACATTCTCTACCTCTAAAACAAACGTTCATCCTCGATTAGACATAAAAAAGTGACTGGACCGGTGAAAAGGTGTGGATATCTACTCTGCATATTTGACTCGGACTCCCACATGGCTTCCTCGATCAGCTGACCTCTCCACGAACACTCAAACTGAAGGATAACTCTTAAACCTCAATTGTCGGACCTGCTGGGCAAGAATAGCCACCAGCTCATTCTCATAAGTCAAATCCTGTCCAATTCGATTGAACTGAAATCTAACACATAGGACGGATTGCCGTGATACTTTCAGAGCATTGACAC